AGAGAATACAAATCCGTTAAATTTGCCTGTTATCAAACTCATCAAGGACTTACGTTCCTCGCATTCTGATCCTCTTGTTTACAAGGGGGCGCAGCCCCTGAATGTAATTGACATTTTCAGATATCCTCAGCAGAACCTGGACTGTCTCGTTAAAATACTTGAGCCACCATCTAGCGACCTGGCTCGTGATGTCCGCGCGAATAACGCGGCAATCAATCACGAGCTTTTTTGGAAGGGTGGCGGGCCCTCCAATCTGAAACATCTCAAGTGTCGTCCAAAGCTTGGCCAGACTCCCGTGTGAGATGTGATGTGATCCTGTTGAACAAAATTAGGGTGGATAACGCAGAAGATGATGCACGAAAGTTTGCAGCGCTCCTGTTAAAGGCGGCACATTGTTTTGAGTGCCTGTAGTGGGGCCCTAATGCACGATTATTTGTCTTCTGAGAAATTCTGTCACAATTCCGAGTTGATGTTGAATCGATCTGACCGTATTAATGGATCTGTAACATCGCCAACGAACACAGCTTGACCTCTTTTGGATCTTTAGCCTACTTTATTTGATCGATACCAAGGTAGACCGGAACCCCGAAGTAGTAAAGGAACGGAGAATGCAATAAATGTGTGGTCTCAAAGACCCTTTTATCCAGTCTCTGGCGGTAACTTGATATAAAAATCTGTCAGCCAAAAATGTGTCGAGGTAATATGCCAAGGTTTTCATAGCTTCTCTATTGATCATGCATGCGCGTTACTGCCATTTCGATTGTTTGTCAGTACGACAGTATGTTGTACATAACGACAGATTCATAACCATGACACATGAATATGTGATCTAATTAAAGGGATCATTTTCATTCCCACGTAGTGAACTGGCAAAAAACACTGTAAAAATTTACATCCGTTTGAAGTTTGCAGTTGTATAAGTGCCACGTTAGCCACACTCAAATCTCTCATTCCCAAGGCTTGTTACCACTGAATTCAACAAGTTCGCCTCCGCGGGAGTGCCAGCCATTTTAGGCGGTATTCTCTGTCATTGGTTTGATATATTCAAACTTTGAAGTAGTGTATAGCATAAAATGTGATGTAGTCGTGTATACTTTATCTCCAGCAAAGTTCCTGATTAACCCCTAGCTAGCGGACACACCTGTACCAAAATCTCAAGCCCTTTTCACAGGTTCTTGACAGTCCCACAACATTGCGATTTTCTTTTCTAGTTCTCAAGATATTATACACGCTTTGTATTATTTTTGTCTCAACATAGATGCGTCAACACTACGTATTTGTCTAGTTAAGTAATGATGTACTTGCACCGTTTTGTTACCTTGTATCCGCACTCATTGAAGAGAAAACATCAAAAAACAAGAATACCAGACAATTTGGTAATTCTAATTAGGATTATGTTTTATAAAATCGTTTTAATTTAAGGTGTATTTCCTCTCGAACAAAAAAATTACATGTTACTCCATAAGCAAATGTGGAATTATTTGGTCGAACTCCGAAGTTCGACCATATCCTTGGGCGGTCGCATCCCAGCCTCAGAGCCATTAGGCTAATGAAGTATCACGATAAGCATGTCAGGCACTGGTGCAACTACTGGAAAACAGGTACCTCACCTGGAGGCCAGACTGTATCGACTGACACGGAGCTTTCGGATGGGAGGGGTTTGGCTAGGGGGCAGATAAGGTGATGTTGGAAAACAAGAGTGCGGTCGATTAGTCTAACTCACTTATTGCCTCGTCGCTGGTGAAGTGGGCGGGTAAAAAAAGCAATGTATCGGATTTAGCCTACGTTTGTGAGAATTCAGTTCGCCGAACGAACTTCCCAAAATACTTTTTAGCCCTGAACCGAACGGGCGGAGTCATCAGAGGATGAACAAACGCTGCTCACAGCACGACAAAGTTACGAGAAAAAAAATCTGTCGTCATAAGACATTTGGGCCGAGCGAAATTTGAATTGCACTGTGCAGACTGTCCAATGATTAAAAGCGCCGTGGATTTTCATTCCCGATGTTTGCACTAGTAATGAAACTGTGGATTGTGAAAATGTTCAGTTGTTGACTTCAGTAGAATTAACAGAAAAGCTGCAAAATCACGGGTTAGATATCTGCAAGCTTGCGTTCACAATCGCACAAATGCATTTTTTCACAGAAATACCACAGGGTAGGACCGGCTCTGATATTCGACAGATTGCAAATTTTGGACCACGTGCTAGACAACAATAATTGCGCATGCTTTGGTGCAACGAACGAAGAGATTAGTAGACATGCAGATGTACACCTTACCCGTCATGTCATGATATTTGGCCGGCCCTTGAAGGGGCTCTGGGACACCTACGTAATCCACTATTTAAATTCCTGCATTTCTCAAAGCAAGGCAGACGTTCACTTACGTTGTCTAAGTGTGAAAAGATCATTGCGGCAAAAATGCAGTTTTTGCAAACACTCATTAATATGCCCTTACTCTGAGCATGAAAGAAATATTTTATAGAGACAGGCTACGTTTCGTTTACTTCTATTTATAAAACCCAGTTTGGGTGCTACAGTGTTTAAATTTCAAGCAATTTCCGCACAAGTTTCCGTTTAAAACATGTTTCAATAACGACCTTTTCAGTCTGTCGTAGGCCACTTGGGAGTAAGATAAAATCGGACCATTTTTGGTTGGGTGAGGAAATGGCTCTGTGAATGTTTGAGTCCATCAGTATGGATACAATAATCAAAAAAACTTGTCCAAATTTTGATTAACATTTGAACTCGATTGAATTGATCGACTTCCCTTCAATTTCTCAGGCACTCCAGCTACATGTATCTTTCGTAACGTTGACCAGCTACACGTAGGCTATGTTTGGTAAAAAGGAAAACAAAACATCGTTCATTTTTCTCTAAGGTTGATAGAATTTGCTGTAGGGATGGCTTTCTCCAGAAGGAGAATGTATCATGGATTTGTCACAATAAATATAAAATGAAAGAAATTTACTGTAAATCACATGAAATAGTTACAGCATTATTCCTGGGTACAATTTTAAATGTATTAAATAATTATTTCAATTTAATTACATGTTAAGTTAACTTCAGCTTTTTTAAAACGACACGAGAAACATCGACAGGCGTGCGTCTTTGTTGATATCCTAAGCTATTTAGAACGTTAACGTTGACAAACCTTAACAAAAGCACACCTTTTGCCAAAAAAGAAAATAAAAATGGAATATTCCCCTCGAAACCGTTTCCTTGGTCTGTGATCGAAGACCACACCAACCCGTTAGCCAAATTCGTCACGAGAACGAATTTTCTGGAAGCACACGGGGGAAGTGATTTATAGCGATTCTGTCAGCTTTTATTACCCCCTCTGCGCAGCCTAAATTAAGCCCTTCGAATGTCAAGTACATTCGAGACGCTGGTCTACGGAGGGTGTCTGGTGCGGTTAGGTCATTCATCTGGGGGTGTGCATGCGACGGTGCCCTGTGAAGCTTGCCGTTCAAATTAACCGTGATATGATAATCTGCGCCGTCAAATTTTAACACAGTCCACGTCACGTGACACCCAACTCAATTTCGTGTGGCTGTTACACATTTTGCGCTTCGAATACAATTCTGGTGGATTTGCCGAGAACTGACTATTTATACAAGATCTTATATAAATTAATTAAGTAGAAATGAATTCTGCTCCCTTCTCTCAATAGGCAATACTGCAAAACCCATTTTGTTAAGGTAAACCCCTGTAATAACGGTCGGGGATTAGACTTAGTATACAAGGAATAAGGATAGGTCGTTAATGACACCACTTTTTTTGCAGTGCACATGCAGTAGTGTGCCTTTTGCACTGAAAATTGTTCCATTTTTTGCAGTTACCGAAATACAAACTCAGGCTGGTGATTTTCTTATGTGTTGCCAAGGATCTTTTACAAGAATGCGTAGTAGAGCAAGCAGGCAGTTATTAGAATACAGCGCGAAGTGTTAACACCGACATCACTCAACCAAGGTGTAGGCGTACTCCACAGAGGAATTTAGAGTCTTGCTCTCAATAATAATTATGTAATTAGGCCTCTGTATAAGCACATTCTTGTTTATTAATGGTTTCCAAGTTTTCGTTTGGTTGTACATTACCTGTACATAATAAACCATGAAACAGTTTTCTGTGTATTGCGGCATGTACGTATTTGGTTCATATGTCTGGGATAATCATGGATATTTCGAGGCCATGGGAGAAATCTCATTTGCGAATTTGGGTCAGTCAGTGCTGGATAAGACGATTGTAACTTTATGTTTTGTCCCCATCTAGTTTTGACAATAGAGCATATGTATATGTATATAGCCAAGCTGATGAAGGAACAACATGGACCCCTGTATACACATTTTCGCCAAACAAAATGCTCATCGTATGGCTGAGAAAAAACTATTAATGAAAGAAGGGTAACGTTGTCTTGAGATGAGAAAATAAGACATACTTTTACAATTTTTGTAAAAAAAAGTTTTTGGTGCCTTATATTGGTTTCCAGACGGATTGGATATCATTCCACACCCTCCTGCTCGTCTGCGCGCCATCGAAAACCCACCTTCCTAAATGAACGCACGTTAGCCCGCAAATTAAAAGCCATAGGCCTATAGGGTAGGGACAATGAATGAACTTAATGTCTACAGGGCCGAAAACAGTCCCTTGATTGTACTTGCCCAGAAAAATATTTGCCCCTGAAAGCCTGTATCCCCAGTTCTCCGTGTACGATGTGCTTCGCCTTTCCCCTTGTTTAACTGTTTCAATACCTGTCTTGCTCCCCATGCACGCCCTCCATTAGCCTTTCAGAGGTATGGCGGACACAATAGGAGGGCGCTATTTGGTTTGGGTAAAATCTTTTGCGTTTGCTCCAAATTTACCACTTCAAACGGCGCCCTCCTATTGTGTCCGCCATACATGTACTTCTAAAAGGCTGATGACACGCTCTGCATGTCTTTTTTCTTTCTTGCCGAGCCTCCTCCCTCACACCACACACTTTCCTCTCCCCATCTCCCACTAGACACAGATCAGTCCCAAGTTGGATGGCACGAGCGCCAGCTGGTCAGTCGGCTGCTGGACAGTGAACGGTTCCCGCACCGCGCCTTGACCTTACCAGCCGACCAGCAGGATCTGCCCCTTACCGTGGAGATTGGCATGATGCTCCAGCAGATCATGAATGTGGTAAGTATGCTGGGCCCTGAAGACCTCCATCTCAATGCTCCAAAACAGACCCGAAAGAATTCAATAATGACAGGCCCACAGTCACAGCACTTTCCAGATGGTCAGAGTGAAGTGACCACAATACGAAATTCAGTAAAGAGTTTAGACGGTACGGAGCCGGTGGGAGTTTGTTCTAATTATGGATTAACCTGGATATTGATTTAATTTTTTAAAACTTACAGCCGGTATGACACAATACTGCTTATTGTGCCCACTTACAATGTAAAAACAACGCTAAACACTTTTTTCTACCTACCTTTTTGACAGGTTGAACTGCAACATGTTTAGTGTTAAGCGGTTAGGAATGCGTTGAAATTCTAAGCGGATTTCAAAAAGCTAAACATGTACCACGGAAAAGCATTAAGCGTTTAAACGCATTCCTAAACACATTTTAATAAACATGTCTTGGGTTGAACGTGTGGAAAAAGTGGGTGGGAAAAAGTGTTGAAACTCTAAACGTTGTTTCGTTTTCACTGTCGTGTTTCACTTTTGGCTTCATGTAGAAATCTTTCTGTTGAAAAATACCGGTACCTTGAAACCGTAGCACGTTTAATAATTTCTGGAAGTAAACTCAAAACTTCGGGAAATTATCGTGGTTGCACGGCGTACACTGCTGCAATATAAGACGGTTTTATTAAAAGTACAGTAGGTATTGACTCAATACTATGGAGGACTGGTATATTTGTGTGTTCGTCCACCTCGCTTTTGAATTTTTCTCGACGAATGCACTTTTTTGGCGGGAAGCAGCCCTCATCTTATTCGGTCACAAAATCACAGGCCCTCCCGCATGAAAGTCAATACTCTTTCCGTCAACAAGTTCTTAGAGACTGAGAAGGGATTTGAGACTGTCGCTCTCTGTCTTTGATCGGGGATTTTATCTGACGCGATTATGGTGTCGATGATCGCTTGATTGCGCTGCCAAGGACGTCGGCTGGGCTTTTATCACGCAGTCGCCATCTTGGATTTGGCAAAAAGACAGTTGTCTGTTACAAGTCATAAAAACAGGCAGCCAAAACGCATGGCTTAAGGCACATATGAAGGGATTACAGCGGGAGGTTTGTTGAAAGACCTATACTTTGAGTGGTATAAGACGGAGGCTTAGAGACAATGAAGAGGAGTACACTTTCGATGTTTCAATCAGTACTCTCGGATGGTGTTTCCAATCTTGATAAAAGAACCCTCGCTATCATAATTTAGTCCCTGTCTTTATATACAGAAACGAAGTATTGAGAAACATTTCAGAAACATAAAAAAACTGGTGCATATCACATTAATAGAGCTTCAGAAGCTGTCACAGTAGCTAACATTATAACAGTAATCTTGGAATGTCTTTGTCTGATATATACCGTTTTTTTCACAGAAATTTCGCTTGTAGTTCATTTTCTCCTTGATCCTTGAGGTCAATGCTTCTTACCTTCATGCAGGGCGGTTGCGAACCGGCTCAAACAGTTCGTCTCAACTCAGTTCAGTACTTAATACACTGTCCCCCAAAACGGCAGTTACCAATTTCATGTACAATAGTGTACAACATTCCCTGTTATTCTCAGGGAGTGGGCCCATGTACAGCCAGTAAGAATGCTAAATCCAGATAGGTTCCACAGTTTACATAAATTACAAAAGAATACGTTGGGAGTTTTGCTGATGAAACGACCCCCCTCCTGAATTCTAGATGTCCTTTCCTACCACTCAAGTGACGCACGCGCGTGGAATTCATTTTGTTGATAAGATCAGCAATTATAATTGCAATACTGAAATGGTCTTCGACATTATTATCTTCATATTTCACGTGTCGAAAGAATGTAGATCCGTTCGAATGTCGCACGGCGGGTAATGAGTGAAAGCTTCCAGTCGCCCACTGCAAATCAGACCCGACATGTTGATTGGATCGGCCGGCCGACTATCGTTGACATTTATTGGCGTGTATCAGCGGATAGCGAGATGGTTGTCAACTTGATGAGCACCACGCCATTCATGACTGCATTATTTAATGTTTAATAACTTATATCATGTACGGCGTTTGTGTGACGACCTGCAGTCGTGAAAGTTTTCTTGAATTTGAACACAAATAAACGGAATCCAAATTTAGTTAAAACAAAGGGGCATAGGATATGCTTAACCGAGTCAAAAGGCACACAATCATCAGTGGTGACTCAAGAAGGAGTAACTAAAATGTTAGTTTCGACCAAGCGTTAAGTTTCGTCGAACTTGGCTGCTTTCCGAGCATTAGTTGATTAATCAAGCTTACTAGTTAGCTAATCAAGCTTACTGGGGTGTGTAACGTGAACGACAAGAGGCAAAAGATGGTTGTTGTGGAATAACGAGACACGGCCTGGTTATAAAGCGCGCCTAGTGCCACTGCACTTTTATCCTTGAAAATAGTTTCTCATTCCAAGAGGAATCATGCATCGAAAGCGTCACGAATCGCAGAAGTCTTTAGAGATGGGTTAACACAACATGAATCAGGTCGTTTCATAAGCTTTAACTTTTAAATTTTCACTCGATAATGTGAAGTGAGGTTCCTTCAAGACTTCAGGGAACTGACTTTCTAGATAGGTTGAACTTTGATGTCGATTTTACTTTAAATTTTCCAAGGGCAAACATTTCAGATGGTGGCAGAATCGGGACGAACATCTGGTACACTTTAAGTTGTGATTTTTTCAAGAGACGCTGATTCTATGGACGCATCTGGTCACGGAAGTCTCCACACAGTAATGGCGGAAACATTGTGCCAGCTATCGTACAATTGATTCATTCTTGGACGTTTTTTCTTCTGAATACTAGACCGAGGGCCCCGGGATTAAAAAGGGGCCAATGGCTTCCTCGTGTAAGCATACGCTCGGTTTCGTCCGATGTTTACCCTGAAAATGGAGTTATACCCTGGCCAAGGAATAATTAGAAACAGCATACTCAAATTCTTGTAACAGAATTCATTGCTTTTTTCTTCCTCGTACAGTATGAGAAGGACCAGATTCTGATCATCAACGCATGGCTCAACTATGTAAGTACATGCCAATCCGGCGTTATTCCATAACGTAGCGTTTCTTTCCCTTGGTCTCATATAACTTATGGTTTCATTGAGTACACCCCATGTATCTTCCCTGACAGTACACATATAATGTTACCCATCCGTTATTGGCATCTTGCAGTACCCTTGGTTTGTGCACGTGACCTTATCAGTTTGTTTCATGTCTTATTCTCACGAAGTGTTTTCATATTAAGTGACCTCACTTGTTTGAGTAATTTAGTATTGCTCTTTAAAAAATCCCTATATTTACAAGCAAGGCTATGCTAATCTATGGCAGAAGATTGATTCTCGTCTTATCAGACGAGCATCGTTATTATGACCTCAGGCTACGGAGATGCCGCACGTACGTGTTGCCTCTTTAACGGCATTTTCTGCGCACGGCAAGAGGTGTTATGTGCGCGGTGCGTAGTACGCGGTTTATCCACCTTCAATTTTGATGGGCTTTCGATTATGAGAGACGTATTTCGCTAAATGGGATACAAACCAGATTTCTTTATTAAAGCGATATGTTGAAGAGGAAATATGAGTATTATAGATAAACTACAAGCTTTTTGCCATGTATTCCTTTCCGGCAAAACGAACGGCTGTTGTTACTTCACGATGAAAGTGTTCGCAATGCCTAAAGCATTTCACCTGGTGCCATCGTAGTCGAGTACTACATGGTGCGTGATAAGCATAAAGCAGAGCTTGGGTAGGAAAGATATGTGGTGCGGGCATGAGGTCTCACCCTCTAAGCCGATATTGTTATTCAAAATACGTCATCTTTTTTGGGTGTGTAAAATCTTAAGGCATCACTTAAGAGCGCTCCTCGTGCACACGATGCGTTTACTGGCAAGAAACACTGGATCGCTGGCCGGTGCAGCTGCCGTGAATTGCGGGCATAGTTCTCCTCCTGATGGCAAAGTGATCAACATTGTATCTGGGTAAATCCAAAGGATACATGGTGATCAAGGTCAATGGCGGGTCTGGCAGGCCTCAATGCCTGCTATGGGAGGCATTTCTTGACGGCTTACCTGGTGGCTGTGGCCGTTCAACTCTGGGCTGAGTTGGGAGGAAACAAGGCTTGTGCACTGCCCATGCTATAAGGACATAAGCAATGATAACGTTGGTGATAAATTGTGCTCAGCAGTGGGGTAACTGCAGCCAGCCGGTATGAAAATTGAAACCTTATTTTCTGAAGGGGGTACCCAATGGGTTCAGTTATATGGTTTCCAAACAGCACAGAACTGCTTATGTCACCTTCACAAATTCCGACCGGCTTGGGGAGCGAGGAACAGAGGCCTCAAGGATGGGAAGAGGGCGTGCATTACTGACAGTGAGGAGGATGACATGCAGCGATTGCAGTGGTGATAGTTATGTGCATGCTCGAAGTAGTATTGTGATGACATACCGTTCCTCTGACACACAAGTCGTGAAGCGAAAGAATATTGACTTGTGAGATGGTTACAAGGGACGTTGGGATTATGCTGTTGGTAGCAACACGCAGGTTGTGTATATTTGACCCATCCGCATGGCATCCATACGGGGTCCCATGCAATTTCAAAAGAAGCCGAACCTTAAACCCCCTTCTCAAATGGCTTGTATCCTGCCTTTTATCTCAGGGGTGGACTGACCCAACCCTAGCCTGGAACCAGTCACACTACGGCGGTGTCAAGAATATTCGGCTTCCGCCAAGCCATCTTTGGACGCCAGATGTGCTCCTCTACAACAGGTTTGCCTTCGCATTCTGAGTATTTCACAATGACCTTGTGGTGGTTGAACATTTGGGGCCTTAATGTAAAAGAGAGCTACTAATGCACCCATTCCAACTCTTCACTGCTGTTGCAGCAACATGTCACACTAGCAAGGGTGCCGGTAATATATTATAACAGGTAAAAAGGAGGTTTATCGAGATGGCTTACGAGTAGTGAGTAAAGGAAAGAAATTATTATTGAGTATGTGAGGATGTCTGGTTCGAATCCTGGATGATATATTTTTCTCCTATTTTCTGTTTGAAAAATTCAGTATGAATGGTTATTTAATTTCTTAATTAATCAGGTATATAGCCCTTGTTTGTTTTATTCGAGGAGAAAACGACGGTTTTGAACGACTTTGAACAGTTGAGAACGTTTTTTATGATCGATATGCTCTTTCTGTTTTTGTGCATCAATAAGAAATGTATAAACTGGTGGGACTAGTTGACTACAGACTACATACTTCATATCTTGATGACAATATCAGACGAAACATTTATGAAAGAAGACACCCTGATGCCCAAAATAGTAGTCGTTAGAATTTTCCGGCCGAGATGGAAGCACAGAACATCCAGGAGAGGAAACTAACGAAAAACGTTTAATAAGTTATTTTTGTTATTCTTGTTGGTACGGCCTACGCTCTGTGGACCCTCATCCTGAATATAAACGGCTTGAGTTGTTTTGGTCTGCCCATGTCATGGTAGATTTAAAGTGTTGTTGTTGAGTCAGATTAATACTGAAATTGTTAAGGGCCTGGAAGGAAACCATTTCTGGACACGGGTAATGAATGAAAAGACACGACCCTACCTAAAATGAATTGTGCACCTCTCTTGCGTAGCGCCCTTGCTCAGTGGACCTTTATCTGACAAATAGCGAACTACAAGATTTTCAAAAACTCGTGTGACGACCACAGACGAATCACGAGATAGCTTCACTGGTAGTTTAGTCTAGGGCTTAAAGTTTCATCTGATGTAAAAGACCGCTGTAATGAACGCCGTCTTTATTGCTGATGACAGAACAACAAACCAGTAGCATGACGCACGATCTGAAGGACCGCTCAGATTAGTTCTACTTCCCGGATGAGAATATCCTCGTCGGATAGGATGTCCTACTCGAGAAAAACCAATAATCAAGGCAATCGCCATCATCATGTCGAACCCCGAAAATACTGTTTACAACACAAACGTCCAATACAGCATCCCGAGGACGCTAAAAAGTACCGCGAATCGGAGATTGTTTGCATCCGTAACTGGCAGCCTTTTTTGCGGCAGGTGGGTTCTTCCGCGGATACTCGACACCCCGCTTGCCTGTCAGCTTAAGAAAACATATCCACTCCCAGCCAGGGGATTTAAGTTACCGCTTTGTCATATCTGCCCCACCCCTAAGGCCACGGAAGGCGAACTGAAGAGGGAAGACGAGGCTTACGTGCTGCACCAAAGATTGTAGAGAATCTTAGTAGACTTGCCTAGATACAGTCCTTATTACAGATTTTGATGCAGTTGATGCCATAGAGGAGTACTTGTACATGGGAGATACAAAGCATAGACTAGAGGCAAGTCTAGTGATAATGTTATACAGGGTGTCCCAGAAAAAACCAAACCCTGAGGAAAAGGGTTAATATGCCCAAACCATGAGATATGATCA